CTGAAAAGAGAAATCAGGAGAGAAATTAGTAAAGAAATCCTAATATCCCCTCAAATTGGAGTGTGGGGATCACAAATAATTGTTTGGCACGATGATCAAATTTGGTTTGCTTTAAAGCATAAGTAGAAGCGTAACAAAGACATCTAGAAACTCTTAAATGAGTATAAGAAGGCTTAACAACAAAAAGTCTCTCGCATGGAGTTTGACCAGAAAGCTTGGTGAATGGGGTCGATTAATTAAATATGCAGCAGTAAGGACGCAATCAACCCAAAATTTGAGTGGAAGATGTGCTTGAAAACATAAAGCACAAGCAACATTGAGAAGATGACGGTGTTTTCGCTCGACAATGCCATTTTTGTTCAGGAGTGCTTAGACAACTGTGTTTGTGAATGATTCCATTTTCTTAGAAAAAAATTAATCATACGAAATTCTTCACCATTATTAGAAGAATTTGTTTAACTCTCTTATCAAATTGATTTTCAATGAGTTTGATGAAACTTTGGGCCATAAGGTAAACCCAAGTAGCATGACTACGATCATCAACTATGGTAGAAAAATATCTAGCACCAGACAACGATTTAGTTTCATATCCTCCCCAAATATCACAGTGAATTATTTCAAATGGAGCATGAGAGTAGAAATGGAACTACGAGGTAATTAAAAGTCGCGAGATCGACAAGTAGCAAAACGTACAGTAGACTAACGTAGAAGTAGGAGCCACTATTAATTCTAGTCTCCTACCAAATAAAATTGTCCGACATGACAAATTTTGGTTTATCCAACCTTATAGTATTATGTAAGTCCAAATGAGTTTTGTTTCATTACTTTATTTTTATTTTATTTTGTTTTTTTTTCCGTTAGGTAAGTGACTCAAATTAGTTTTTGAGAAAATTACTATTTCGTGGTTTTTGGTAAGTTATTGTTTTCTGTTTTTGGGCTAAGGTTCTTAGGATTCTATAAATGAGTGCCTTGTGTAAGGCTTTGTGTGCTAAAAGAAAAGTATAGAGAAAAAGTGTCTCCTTTCGAGAGAAAGAGAGAAAAATGACGAGAGAGATATGCAAAGAGTGTAAGGCGTTTTGGGTAAATAGAGGAAGAGAGAAAGTTTGTTGATTGTTGATAACTCTATTAAAAATAGAGTTATTTCACTATTTTTGTGCATTTAAAGTGGCTAGTTTTTGATATTTTTAGCTTAGTTTATTTTACTTTACTTTATTTTGAATGTTAATGAATTTACTTTTCATTTTAGATTTATTTTAATATATTTTAGTTTATTTACTTTAGTTTTAGTAATTTCTATTTTAGTTTTCCTTCCAAAATAATTAGTGTTCTCATTTTTGTGACAGTGGGGCTTAAGTGAAAAGTTTGAAATGATATGGGATCAAAAGTAAAAAGGAGTCAAATTGAAAAGATAAAGTTGAGATGGGTCAAAAATATTAAGGGAATTAAAATTGGGAACTCGTTCCAATTTGTTCGATCACATGCATTGTGCCTCACATGATTCCCGTGCACCTATGCATTTCACCAGCCCCTCACTGCCACCTGTCCACCACACTCTCCTTCCACTCAGTTATCGCCATGTGGAAGAGCTACATCACCAGCCCTAAGGTTTGTCTTTGGCGTTGGTTCTGGGAGGGATATATATCCCATTCTTTGGCAGCCGCCAGAGGTGAGGAGCCAGGGAGCTCAGCGTACCCGAGAAAACCAAAAGAAAAGAAAAGGAGAATCATTAATAAGGCTTTATGCCATTTTTGTGAAAGAAAAAAGAGAGAGCCAAATCAGTGCATAACAGAGAGGAAGAAGAAAAGGGGACCAATACTCAGAGAAGGATTTTTCCAGCTTTCTTCATCCAGTGAAAGCTCGCTTGAAGAATGGAAAGGAGGAGAAAAAGATTGAAGCTCCAAATCAGCTGAACTATTTTCTATCTCTCTGTTTTATTTAATTTCTCGCTGGGTTTACAAATTTTGTTGAACAATGAATTATATTGAGAATTTGGTTTTTACAAATTCAACCATGAGCTAAATTTCTTTAGCTAGGATTATTGATGGAACCAAAGTTGCAATGAAGATCTATTTGCTATTTTGATTGATTGTGTAATCTTCATCCTGTTTATTCAAGTGAATTTATTGTCCAAATTCTATTAAGTGACAGGCCATCATTTAGTAAGAATATATAAACTTAAACTAATTCTGGAAAGGTTAGTTTAGTTAGATCTAGCTTAGATAATATAAGAGATTAGTATAGGAATATATTATTGTCTTATACAACCCATTAAAATTGGTGCTTAACTTCAGGTTTGTAAACTAAAACGCATAGGAATATGTTGGTTTGGTTTAAGGAACTGTAAGCATAAATCTGTCGGAAGATGATTATGTAAGATTTTAGGTTGACTGGATGAACTTTGCTACAACATTGTTGAACTTTGCTACAGCATTCCTGTAGCAATTGTGGTCAGAGTTGCAACTGAGGGAAGATCAGTAATCCTAGCCTTTACCCACCATTGATTCATTAGTTTATTGAATTGTAGTTAGTCGATACTTTTATCAAATTTGGTGTTTAAGGTGACTTTTACATTCTGTTATCAATTACTCAATCCTCGTGGGATCGACACTCTTATTCACACTTTATTACTTGAGGCGACTCGTGCACTTGCGAGAACAAATCACGCAACAATTGTGTAATTCTTAAAACTATTAGCGAATTTTTCTCCCTCTTCCGTAGACGTCGTAAATTTTTGCGAACCACTTAAATATTTGTCTTCTTTATTTTTCTATTATTTTTGTTTCAGTTTATTTTTCTACTGCGTGGGTGTAGGGTGTGTTTTTCCCCAATAAGTGGTATTAGAGATGTGATGAAGATTAAAAAAAACGTCAAGATGATGTCCGGGATAAAGTTTGAGCAGATTAAGCTCTTTGATGGAAAGAGTAATTTCAACATTTGGTAGAGTATGGTAAAAAATATTCTGGTGCAGCATGGATTACTAAAAGCGCTACAAGGAAAGAAGTCAGAAAATATGAAAGATGAAGATTGGGAAGAACTGAAATGTAGTATTATGAATGAAACATCTCCTTCTGAGGCATGAAAAAAAAATAGAAATAGTTTATATGTCGAAATCCCTAACAAATAGACTATATTTGAAGAAGCAATTGTATGAGTTGAAGATGGATGAAGAAAGTGATATTAGGGACCATATAATTAATTTTAATAAGTGCATAACTCAATTGTTAAGTGTAGAGGTCAAAATTGATGAAAAAGATAAAGCGGTAATTTTGTTGGCCTCCCTACCCAAATCATATGAGACTTTGGTGACTACACTGTTAGTTGAAAAGACGACGTTGACTGTGGATTAGGTGTCGACTGCTCTATTAGAGAACACAAATATGAAAAAGCCTAGTAGTACTCATACTAAAGAAGTTTTAGTGGCAAAGTCAAATTTATTTAGGGGTAGGAGCAAGTCACGAGAAAGATATTATGATAAGAGAGATGATCGTTTCCAATTTTGTCCAAAGAATGATATTACGTGCTATTATTGTCATAAGAAGGGACACATTAGAAGAAATTGTGAGGAACTGACGAAGCATATAGAAGAGAAGAGAAAGCAAGAAACCCAAGAGACTTCAGATTCTGTAAATGTTGTTGGCGATATGTATGACAGTGAATATGATGCAAATTCTGTTATTGTTGATGAAATATTTTTGACTTTTGGATCTTGGATTTTTGATGCTCGTTTCATATGTGTCCATATAAGGAGTGGTTTGATTCTTATAAGCCTTTTGATGTCAATACTTTGTTGACAGTTGATGATTCTAGTGTTAAAGCTATTGGAATATGTACTGTAAAGGTGAAGATGTTTGATGGATTTGTGAAGACATCGACGAATGTTAGGCATGTTTCTCAACTAAGGAGAAAATTGATTCATTGGGAGCTTTAGACACTTTGGGTTGTGACTACTATGCAAATGATGGTTTTATGAAAGTCAAGAGAGGCGATTTAGTAGCCATGAAGGGTGAAAAAGTGAAAAACGTGTATAAACTAATTGAGACTACAGTTGTTGGTGGAGTCAAGCCACAAAATCTTCTTCTGTTGTGAAAGAAGTTGTTGGCATAAAAGAGTGCAACAAAATGATAACAGTTGAAGATGATAAAGACAAGATGGTGAAGACTTGTAGTGGTGAAGATACTTTGAAGAAGAAGAAAGTTTCTCGTGCCAAGTATGATGAGAGTTTGAACTTGATAATGTTTATTCTTGTTGAGGTTTGCATTGTCGGTGTGATGACGTGTTTCGAGATTGGATACCCAATTGAGTGAGTTGAGAGAATTTGAATCAAAGTGAAAATTGTTAGGTAAGTGACTCAAATTAGCTTTTGGGAAAGTTACTACCTCGTGTTTTTTAGTAAGTTACTGTTTTCTGTTTTGGGCAATGGCTATTCGAAGGCTATAAATAAGTAGTTTGTGTAAGGCTTTGTGTGAAGAGTGTCTCCTTTTGAAAGAAAGAGAGAAAAGTGAGGAGCGAGATAAGCAAATGGTGTAAGAGGTTTTTAGTAGAGAGAGAAAGAGAGAAAATTTGTTAGGTGTATAATTCTGAAACCGTTAGTTAAGTTATTCTCCCTCAATCATGGACGTAGGAAATTTTTCTGAACCACCCAAATATTTGTCTTCTCTAATTTTATGTTATTTTTGTTTCAATTTATTTTTCTACTATGTGGGTGTAAGGGTGTATTTCTCTCCAAAATTTTTTGATGTTTGAGAGAGTCCCACAAGAGTATGTATTGTTGACACAAAAAGATTGCGTAAGATCCTCGGTATCCAATTGGAGAGACGCTGCCAAATTGCACGTACGTAATAGCACTCAAACAAAAAGGAATATGATTAAATGCGAAAAAGAAAAAACAACAAATGGAAAACAAAATGTTGTAAGTTTAATTCGTTGCAAACAAATTAATGAAAAAAAAAAAAAAAAAAAAAAAAAAAAAAAAAAAAAAAAAGGTGCATCATTTCTTCCTTCTAGTATTTGGGATTCTTTAGGTAGCACTCCTTAGGAAGGCCTTGAGGGAATCTGTTTGTGTCTGTGCAGTAATTGTAGACCATATGTTTCTGCTGCACCCATTTCATATTCCCTTCAGCTCCATAATCAAGCTTGTCCCAAAGCCAGGCGTTGTTGCTGAATGGAGAAAATTTAGAATTCGATCTGCAAGAAGAGGCACCGCGAGACCAAACGCAAGCATTTTCGGCGTTGAATTTCTTAAAGTAGGCATTGAAGGGTCCTTCAGACCAATCTGTCTTGACAAGACCACCTCTCGTAGCCCAGTCGTCCGCGTTCCAAAGACTAGCATACAACTTCATACGCTGGTTTTTCGGGAAAGGTACCCCATAACGCTCCAAGTTCTCGAATTCTCTAATGGGAATGCCATCAACCAAAAACCTAAAAGTTTGCAAGGAAGAGGGCAATCAAGAATTAGTACTAAATGATATTTAGAATGAATATTGAAAGCCTTAGGCGTTGTTCATTTTAACGATTCGAGTTTTTAATTTTAGGTTTCTACAGTAAAAAACACTCAGAAAAATGTCACATCTAACTTTTTCTACTACAGTGAAAAGTTCTCAGAAAATGTCACATCTCAATTCGAATTGAAAACTCGAATCTGCGAAGTGAACGAAGCCTTAATAACTGCGGTATGAGTGCTTTGGTTTGTGATTTATTTGTACCGACTCACGATAACAGAGAATTGAATAAAGTGAGGTAGTTTTATGTTTGTGATTTATTTGTATTGACTCACAGTGACGGAGTCAGGATTTAAATGCAGTAAGGGCACAAATAAAGAGAAAACTTATAAACTTAAAGAATAACAAAAATTAATGCACAGCTCCAAATACTACTTTGTAAAGGTAACATAATCATATTATCATGCTTTACTAAAACAAAAATAGTATCATGCATGCAAAAGTTATCAAAGACGTTGAAAATGAAATATATATTACATACCATAATGCACAGTATTGGAAATTAAGCAAGAACAAAAAAAAAATAACAAAAATAACAAAAAACAAAACAAAAAACAAAAAAGTTTAAAACTTGTATTGGAAAAGTGGTTTCAGGCATTAGCCTAGAGGTAATTTCACACATAACTTCAATATGAGATGAATAGTTCAAATTCTCCACCCCCAAGTTAAAAAAAAAAGAACTGAAAAGTTAAAAATATTTATACCAAGAAAGAAGAATAATGTACTATTTGAAAAAGGAAAGCAATGAGGGACAGTGAGGAGAGAAGGCGTGCAACGAATTTGCCATATATATGATGCTTACACAATGTGTTTAGGAGTCCAGAGAATGGAGTAGGAGTGGAAATCAGCCGTGGGGTCGAACCAGAGGCGGAATTGCATCTCTCTGTTGCCGGTGCCTTGGCAGAAGACATTTGTGTGAAGAGTGTACGGTCGACCAGTTTCATTCCCCAAGAATTCAAAATCAATCTCATCATGGTATTGCCCTTTGGAGGACAACTGATGATGATCAAATAAACAAAATAACACACAAGCCGCAATAGTTAGAAAAATGTAATCAAAATTAAGGTATCGTTCATTTCACTGATTCGAGTTTTTAATTCTATGTTTCTACAATCAAAAGTTTTAAAAAAATATCAAATCTAATTTTTTCTGCTACAGTTAAAAACTTTTGAAAAATGTCACATATCAACTCGAGTTGAAAACTCGAATTCGCGAAGCGAACGAGGCCTAATAAGGCCTGTACATTCACAAATGGTTGATTTGATGGATGCTAGAAACTCACATAAAATGCAGTGACGGTGCCAGCAGAGTTTCCGGGGACAAGCTTGATATCCATTTCTATCTTTGCATACAAATATTCGTCCTTCGACTCGAAGCCTGAGCCAGAAACTTCGTCAAGGGTGACGGTCAGAAGCTGTCCATTGTTGAGTATCTTGCAGCGATCCTCTCCCCATGTTCGGTAGAGATCATCATAGAGGTTGCCAGCGAAGGCGACAATGGAAAAGCTAAGCATAAGAGAGAAAAGCAGCAAAATGGCTGAAACGTTGAAGCAAGGAAAATGTGGAAAGCTTAGACGTTGGTTCTTCATGATTAGAAGTCCTAAATGACACGCTGAGTTTGTTTTGTTCAAATGCTTGTGTGGTAGAATATAATTTATAGGTGTGAAAGTTAGCAAGAACAACATGTATATAAGAGTTTATTTTCTTTATTTTTTGGTGGAATTTCTGTACTTGGCAAGCATAAAGTGGCAACAACAAGATTTTTTAAATTTTAAATATATTTTTATTTTCATTTTTTTTTAGAAGGATTGACTTCAGTTAGCTATTGCTTTTGAATTAAGTTTATTCCCTGATTAAAATTAACACCCATTTCCTTTAATAAATCCAGCTTTATAGTGGCTTAAAATATTCCTTGGCAACGTTTTAGATATAATTAAATAAAAATTCTCTTAGGAATCGTCCATTAAAATTGTTACTTAAATACCTTAGTACTAAAATCCTCAACGTGGTTTTCAGTAAGTCAATTTCTCCACAAAAAGCGAACAAAATATTACAGAAGTGCTCAACGTGGGGGACACAATTTAAGGGTTGGAGAAGACGAATTCCACCTAGGCAACAACCTACACCTTTCCCCGTCCCAAATCATCTGAAATCCGAAATTGTTTTCAAGGGGAAAAAAGAGAAAAAAGAAAAAAGGGACAACCATTTGATTAAAACATTAGCCAAATCAATTTATTATGCAGCGGAATTAAGGAAGAGTTAAGTCAAATCCATGGCAAAAGGAAATCTAACCCCTAAAATATTCTCTACAATATTCACTCTTCCAAATGAAAAAGACTTATGGAGAGAGAATTCCCAACAGCCTAAATAATGAGCACTCCAAGGGACGAAAATTTTACCTATACGAACTACTTATTATGGGGATCCATCTTAAATGGGATGGAGAAAACCCGGCATAATGGGTATGGGTTGTATAGGGTATAAAAATTTAACCCGTCACGAGGTATAAGCAAGGACGGATTTAGAGGTCTCTGACCCTATTCCTCATTTATTCATCTTGTTTAATTACATATCATTTTGAGATTAAGTATCTAATATATAATCTTTTATAATATATAATATTTAAAAGTAATGTTTGTTGGAGTAAAATTTCGTCCAATAACAAACCAACGATCTGAGACTAACAATTTGGATCAAACGAACTAATAATCTAAGAAAATTGGATAATCACTCAAAGAACACAAACAACCTCAAAGAAAGAAATAAAGACAAAATATCAGAATCTCAAGGCTCTATATTAGAAATTTGAGTGTCCCATTCTTCCCCTCAAATTGAGAGAATTTATATTACATTAGGAATATGGAGTTTAATTCTCCCATTACTTTGAGAGTTTATTCTCTCTTTAATTATGATGAAAACTCTTCACCTCTTGAATGTTACAACTGATAAATAATCAATACGGATTTAATATTGATCATTGAATGCATTTAATTGTCGACTGTTATGGTACGTGATGTTGCCTTGTGACCTTCGAGCTTCCTCTTTTAGTCTGAGTATAAATGTTCAGACACTCGGACGCTCGGATACTCAGACGCTCAGACGCTCAGACGCTCAGACACTCGGACATTCAGATGCTCGGATGCTTAGACAGTCAGATGTTCGGACACTCGGATGTGTTCGGACTTTGCATAGGTAACTGCAAGTACCCCGAACCCCTCACGGGGGAAAGAAACCCCCATCCCTGCCAACTTATACAGGTCAACAGGGTGAGGATAGATATTTTGAACCACCCCGCCACAAATTCATCACATCTCCATCCATCCAACTGTTCATGAAAAAAATAATTACATAAAATGCCCACTTTTAAAGCCTTGAATCTAAAAATACCCACTTATTTATAATATTACAAAAGTTTTGGATGTACCCCTTTACGTTATTTTGGGCATGTTCTTTATATGGTTATTTTTTTTTTTTTTCCATTATCTGGGTTGATTTTCTAATATTATAGTGTGTTTTGACTTTCCATTTCATCCTCAATTAATATTCTATAATAAAATTTTGATTTTAGTTTTTATATTATCTCTAAATTGTCAGATTTCCCTACACTCATTTTTTGAATGGTTGTGGAGGAAAACGTTTTTTTGGCTGTGTTAATTGACAAACTGTCGTTCTGATTTGTCTTCAAATGATCATGACTCGTAATCCTGGTTTTGTCTACGTATCTTTTTTTGCGTTAAAAGAGAATTGCAGAAACAAACAACGTTGAAAGAGGTTTGTATCTTGCTTTGTCTTCTTCTTTCTTTCTTTTCTAATGTTATTATCACTAACACAATGAAAATGCTTCCTTCTTAGTAGGTTTATGCGCATTTTTCAATAGCACGTGTTCATAATGACATCATCATTTAAATAATGAAAATTATTTTTTACGAGTATTTTTTAGTGCTTCTCAACCTTTATATTGATTTTGTTTTATCATATTATTATCATTAACGCAATGAAAAATGATTCCTTCTCAATAGGTTTATGCGCAATTTTTAATAGTACGTTTTCATAATGACATCATCATTAAAATAATGAAAATTCTTTATGATGAGTATTTTTTAGTGTTTCGCGACATTTATATTGATTTTCTCTTATAATGTTATTATCATTAATACAATGAAAATTCTTCCTTCTCAATAGGTTTAATTATGCGCATTTTTTAGAAGTACTTTTTCATAATGACATCATCATTAAAATAATGAAAATTCTTATTGATGATTATTTTTTAGTGGTCTCTTCTGTATTGTACTTTGACGTTCATTTTCACAATGAATATTAATTGACAGAGGGGCTGCCGGAGAGCGCTGGCGGGGTGGCGGGGGTGTCGGAGAAAAAGGCGGAGTGGGTTCACGGTGAGGCTGTGTTTTTTTACTGGTTTTCTTACACGATTATATGGTTTTATTTGCCTCTCTTCTCTATAAAAGGAAGGTAATTTAATGAAATTTTTTAATGAAAGTTTCCTCGTTACATGTTTGACTGTTGTAACTTTTAACTGAATATTTACCATTGTCTGGATGTGGTTTTATTTGACTTTTTAATTGAGATTCGATTATGTGATATTGGTATCTTATTTTATTATATTTTCTATTTTGGTAATTCATGATTTTTTTCTTATTCTCATTATATAAAGGTTTGAACGTCTTTATATGTGATAGTGGGCAAGTCTGTAAATAAAATATTAAGTGGGTAGTTTTAAATTCAAGTCACTCAAAACGGGCATTTAGGTAAATAACCCCTTCATGAAACTTCCTCTCTCAACAAAACTTTTAGTCAGGCCCATTGGGCTGAAAGACCTCCCAGCTTAATGTAAGGAAAATGGAAGTAATAGGCCGATTTTTTTGGGTAGTTAATGGCTCCGTTTGGTAATGCTTTTGGGAAGCTAAAAGCACTTTTTTTTTCAACTGAAGCTCAAAAATGTGTTTGGTAAACACATAAAAATAGATTGTTAAAAAATCCAGAAGCTATTTTCCATCTGAAATCAGAAGCAGCTCACTTGCTGCTTCTGATTTCAGATTGTGCGGGAATCTGTAGGAAGACATTAATGAAATTTTGGTTATTCCCAAAATAACCCATCTCTCCCTCGTCATCGTGCACACATCTCCTCAGCCCCTCCCTGAAACTCTCAGCCTCTCAACCTCTCAACCTTCGCTCGTGCTCTCTCGCCTCAGCCTCTCAGCCTCCTCTCGTGCTCTCTCGCCTCACCCTCCCTCAGCATCTGGGCATAGGCTCCGTTAGTATGAATGCCATTGAAGAAACAGGGAGAACGGAAAAGAAATGGTCAAGATTATTTCTTTTTGTCTTGCAATATGCGTAAGTAGAAGGCTGTTATTTGCTCTTGTTATTTTGTTTAACAGTTTTATCGCTAAACCCAAATCTGGGTTTTGTGTGCTCCGTTTGCTGGTTTGGCAAATGGGGGGTTTTTTTTTTTTGTTCTTTCTTTAGGCATTTTGTAAATCTTGCTTGTTTCTTTTGTTACTGTGAAAAGGGTTTATGATATTGGAAGAAATTTATGCCTGGACGACTTGTATGAGGATTGTGGACTCTCTGCCTGTGTTGCTATCGTTACTTTTTAATTCATTTTTTTTAATTGAATGATTGATGTTTGGTTTATTTCTTTCTTTTATCTTAAATTTAGGAATAGTTAAGAATTAGACTGAGAAGTGACTGCCCAAATTGTCAAAGAATGGTCAGGGATTAATTCATTTGCACTTGCCACTCAGACCAAGTTGCTCGAATTGCTGGGAAAACTCAAGCAGGAGGTTGAACTTTTATTTATTTATTTTTTCCCTTTAGTCATAATTTTATAATCTTGAATTCTTTTTTTTTTTGGGCAAAAAATAGTTTTTTTTAATATGATTTTTGCTCACTAACATTAGTCCTTTTCAGGTTGTTGTCCTTTTCTCTTTGCTTGGTTGATTACTGTTTTAGTTTGGTTTGAAGGTTTTGAGTATTGCTTTCTATCGTTTTTTCACAAAGCCAGTGTTGCATTTTGCAGAGTTGATAACTTGGACAAGGAGGTTGTGAGAGCCATTACCAATAGTTTTGGCTAACGAATCTGGAATCGAGCTTTAGTTATCCGTACATATTGAAGTTACTGTTCTTTTCTTCTTCTTCGTTATTTTTTAATAGTTAAACAATTATAACATAATATTGTGTTTTTGAGCTTTCAATCTAAGGGGTTTTGGTCAACGCCTGTTGTGAAGCTTTTGTTTATCCTTTTCAAGTTATTGACAATATTGGCTATTCTTTGGAAATAGGTTCTTCCGAATGGAATTGCTTGGATTTCTTATTTAGTTGAAAAAACCACGGAAGTGGCGTTGAATGGAAGCAAGTCTATTTTTGTTGATACGAAGCTGATTGAAGCGCCAAACCCCAATGAGAGGGGGAAGACCTTCATTCCTCTGATTTTATTAATCTAAGTAAGCCCGTGGAAATTTTCTTTTTGCTTTTTCTTGGGGAAGAAAGATCTTAAATTTTGCTTCTCTTTCCTGATTCAATG